GCGCAGCCCTATTCATACGGTGGTTATACGCTTCACTCGGCTCCGAGTGGTTATCGCGGACATAATGGCGATAGCGGTAACTAAATATGAGAGTTCTCTCACTCGCCAGCGAAGGGTCCGTGCCAAGACTTTTGAGCTTGCTCCAAATTTGATCGCACTTCCAAGGATGCAGACCATTAAGAAAATAGTTTGGCTGGTCTGTCATGTCAATTCAACGGGCTTAAATTTCTTCCCTGCAAAACCACGGAAATTATCACATTTCTGCCATTTGAGGTTAATTTAAGTCGGAACGCTTTGTGCCGTTCACTTCCAAGGTGCGAATCCAGAGCATCAGAAGTCGTCCGAGGGCCCAGCATGTCGACAACCCCGGAGGATATAGCGTCCATGGCAATGACATCGACATTGTTGAAGGTGTAGTAGCATCACTTTTCATCGGTCTTTGGCGCTGGAACTGACGTGGCTTTGACCTTGATAGCCCTGCATATCTCAGCGATGACGCATGCTGATCATTGAGTGCGTGGCGTAGGGCCTCGTCTGCTATTCTGTTCATATTTTCGAGGTTTGATATGCTGTAGCGCTAAACTTGGATGGTCTTTTTAAATGAAACAGTTCATCAATTAACCAAGTGACATACTTTCCACAACAGCTAAATTCTGAATTACATCAATATGGCAATTACAAAATGCATCGGTCACTTTGGTGGTTCCAGCCATAATCATGTAGCGTACATTCTTACGCACATCTGTCATGCGCGAATGGGGCTGTTGCTTGTTGCCTGAGCCAGCTGACTGCTGTGAAATTTGTCGTGCGGTCAAGCCAGCAGAACGACAACATTATATTACAGATGAGACCGGATCTGAACAGTGGGGCGCCGTCTGCGTGCGCAAGCCAAGTTGATGACAATTGCACGCAAGCGTTGGTTTAATAGTAAAGTAAGACATTTGCATGACGCCAAAAGTTACTGAAATTATTGTTGAAGCGCGGTACCTTGATCGGCAAGGAGAGAATGGCACGGAAACAACACGTTTCGACCATGAAAGGAACGGGTGATATATATGTACCGATAAAATACGAGCCGACGCGGACGACCGCGCACTCGCGCTCGTGCCCAGGCAACAATGTCACCGGATCTAGAGAGTTTTGTTCAGGATTGTCTCTGATGCCACCGATAGGTCTTCTCGTAGGTGCACATTCGAGGGTGACGAACGAGACTGTGCCTATCTCGTAGCCAATGCTTGGCCCTCAGACGCATGGTGAAGGTGTCAATTTGAGGCCGTTGAAAATTGCCGTTTCTACATTGCTGACTACAGAATCCCAAACGGCAGCATCAGGAGGCCCCACCACAGAAAACAAATAGTGCGTTATGAAGAGCATCTAGATGCGGCTCCCTACATAGCTAACCATGAACCCTCCTATCCAGCCCGATCCTCCTCGAGGTCAGGCGCTCTCCTCGCAAAAGTTTCCGTGTATTGTGACGGCAGTTGTATTTGCTACAAAAGTTTTTCCATCTAGGCAAACTGTCTGAAAAACATGGATGTCCTGCAGTGTTGACTGAAACAGATAGGCAACTTTCTGCCAACGTCGATTAAAATGTTAAATTGGTGTTACGTCGTAGAGCCCCCCTTTCTGTTTCCCAACTGGCGAGATACAAGCGGTACCTTTGTCGCTTTTCGCAAACATATAATGTAATTGTAAGAACCTTTTGAATATCACTGTGCCACCATTGGTTGCAGCCGTGGTAAAACTCGCCAACTTGGCGGATAAGGTTGGCGACAAAAATATATTTTTCACGCGACGTTTTGCACCAAAAATGTTTTTTCTGATAGTTTTTGGTGACGGCCACGACAAAACATTACAGCGCACATTCTATAACCTTACGTGGGTTTCAATGGTAATGCATTTCACCCCACAACACCAACAAGCCTTGCCGTTAAATACCCTTTACCGTACCCTGTGACCCCATGGTATATTCCTTTAGCTCCATTCCAGGCCGGTGACAAAAAATATTCTATGATTTTTAGTTGGTCGCTTGCTTCGATGACAGTTCGGTAACAAATCAGTGTTTTCCCACGGCTCGGCCGGTCGGCCGATTTGCCGTTTTGGATAGCTGACTCTCAGTGTACCAGACTAGACAGTAGATATACTGGGGAAGATCTGGATGTTGCGATTCATTTGGCCGCAAGAGCATGTTTGGATCGTTGTGATGCCACTGATATATGTGAGGTTGGCGGTGACCCGCAATACACCGGGGCCATGCAGACGGCATTCTCACTGCAGTTTCATGAATACTTAGCCAGGGTTCGCTTTTGGCCATTGTTGACTTCACCGATTGACAGTTCAGGGAAAATCGGCGAAATGATTCAAGGAAGGTAGAAATTGACCTGTGATTATATTATATGATCAGAGTAACTTTTCAAGACATAGAAAAGGTTGTTGACTCACCGTAGCAGTTACAAGCATCGAACCTTCCTCCCTTTGAAGAGAACAGGGGGCTCGGCACTGCAGGCTGATGATACTGCTCAGGGAAGGGAATGACAGGAGGCGAGAGTGGTTCTGAAGTGCCAATTTACGCTATTGTTGCCTTGTTCCTGATTGAGGATGGTTACTAGTCAAAAAGATGTTCAAATCAGGATTTGTATCTAGCTTCTACCCAATGCAGGCCCCCAGCCCTCCCCATCCAGTTTGTAAAGAAGTGTTAAAAATGAGGAGAGAGGCACATCTCGTGGAAGATAGCACAGTTTTTCACTGCTCAGCGCTTCCATATATCTTTGAAACTATGCCTCTGCTTGAAATGAAATGATTTCATGAATATTTTGTTAGCATTGAAATGACAATGATTCCCAGTTCAACCTTTTCCCAATATTAACCTTGCCTTCTGGAAGCTGATATGACAGCCAATGATGCAGGCAGTGAGGAGGCAATGAGGGGCGAGGAGTAAGGAGGTGCAAAAAGTGTAGGCAATGTGAAGGGGGGGGGGGGTTGAGATCTCATTGCCACTTCCCTTTCGCCAATAGTTTACTTCAAATATGAAAAGGTTTTGTGGGATTTTGGTCCTATTGCTATGAGTTTAGTAAAAAGAAGACCATATTTGGCTGTCTCTCAGAGTAGTTTTGGGTATTTGATGATGGTAGCACCCCTATCCTAACAGGTAAAGCTGGAAATGAGCCATTCTGCAGTCCTCATTTATTTCACAAGTTCTTTGCACCTTTCCACCAGTGAGCATGTCATTGGCATAAATGCAAGTGTAATGTATATCTGTACTGTGTTTGCTGACTGAAGTGAAACCTTTTTCTGATGCAACCCTGAACATAATTACGGTTTGTATTAAGTACAGGTTGTGATGGAGGGCAGCATATCCTGAATGCAGCCCACACTGGTAGAAAACGATAGTTTGCCTGGTTGTGGCATCATGTCAGGTAAGAAAAACGGGGAGGGGGGGGGGTAGTGGCAAGCGATGGCCTCAACCTCCCCCCCCCCCACCCCTGAGACGATCTCTGAGTTCTCAGAGCCCAAGATCCTCCCAGGACCTCATTACGAGTTCAAAGCCTTTGATATCTGCATGACCTTCCGTATATTTCCACGAACGTCTGTACGCAAAGGGTAACAGAGACGTCGGATCGCCGGTAGCTGTTTGGTATCTTATTGGTGGAAATATGAGACATTTGTTGTTCAAACCACGGGAAATCATTAAGCCTGAGCTCGGAATTTTGGTACCTTTGGTTCGTCAAAGCATGTAGCATTCTTCTGCAGGTGGGCTGCAGCCGCAAATGATTGTCTTTGTTGATTTGCTGTTTTTTTGCGTTTTGCTCACCATGACAAGAGTCTTAAATAGTCGATATATGTATCAGTGAAATCAGTTCTGTGATCCACTTTTCCGCGGCCCTGCTGCATCCCTCTTCCAGCACGCCCCACTACCTCTTGCCCAGCACCTGCGAAGTCGCCTTCACCTCAATCTGAGCCCAACCCGGAAGCCAATTTATTGCTCCTTCCTTTCCAGGCAGCCTAGAAACCTATTTCAAACTTAATTGCTGTGGCGCATCGAAAGTCGCACTTGGCTTGGCCAGGCTTGGAGCATGCTTTAGGTATGGTGGAGAGCATAATGATGGTTGGGGTCGGGTTGAACACGTGGTTTCCATAAGGAGACGTGGCCTCGACGGGGCCTGCATGTTTTACGTCATCCCTCAGTACTACCTGCCGCTGGCTGGAATTTTGTCTTGTACTTAGCTACCCTGGCTGTCGAGGTCCTTTGCTGTTTTTTTCGCGGTCGAGGATAGCAAATTCAGCCTTAGATCGAACATTAACGTGAGGACACGATAGGTCCCGAGGATGAAGGAAGACTGCTTTTGGGATTAAACTACCCCATGGTGAAGAGTCGGTGTACCTGCATTCCTCGCAGCAACAGATATCGTGGCATTCGTTGAATGATATTATATGAATGAACGTCTCGGTTGTGTACATAATATTGCAAGTTGCGATGAAAAAAGAGTCTTTCGATGGTACACCGATTTCTGGTTACGCTGCTGGGCGTGGACGTCATTGCCATTTATTGCCATGGCATCGCGTTAAGCTACTGGTGACAACTTTGGTCGCAGAAATTCGGTCGGCGACACAAGATGCATTTTTTCCACCCCTGATTCACTGGTTGTCAACTGCTCGTTTTCCATCTGTCGTAGCAACCACATCTGTTCCTTCTTACAAAGACATAATGTAATTGTAAAACAATTGCCAGCACGACTGTACCTCCATTGCTGATTTGGCGAATATCAATTTTTAAGATTGCATCGCCTTTCCTTAATAGTTCATACAAACTTTTTGCCGCTAAACGTATGCATTTAGCAATGACCTTAGTCTGAATTTGTTACTAACGCTTTCTCTTTCGTCTTAGACGAAATTAGACCGAACAGATAAAATCGCTTGTTTTTACAGAAGAACTACTAGACGTTTGCTCCACCTGCGCTGTCGACCAATATCCTGTGTGATCTAACAAGTGTGATACAAAGTTACGTTGCATTGGTTCTCCGTTGTTTATTTTTCCGTCTGCCTTAACGAAAGCAACACATTTTTCGCTTGTTACAAACATTTTCTCAGCCGATTCCTGCCCTCCACACAGCTTATCAATATTTACGATCGGCTGCAAGTGCCAAGTATGTGTCACAGGCGGTGTATCACTGCTTTGATCTGACGGCTTGTGCACTGGCACCGGTGCAGAGTGATGCCAGACTGCGATGTGAACCACGATCTTCCGCCGTAGAATATCGAGTTCGGTCGCTGAGTGACAGCCCAAATCGCTTTACCGCCCTCAGGGTCCTTCCATCAGGTCCGGGACACCACACCTCTCACTTCTTCTCCGCCTTCTTCTCCTCCTTGTCCACCTTGAGCGGCACCGACTTCTCCGGCTTGCTCGGCTGCTCGGGAACCTTGCGCGGCGCCGTGATGGTGAGGACACCTTCCTTGCTGAGGTGGGACACCACGGCGTCCTCATCGGCATCCTCGGGCAGCTCGTACTTGCGCGTAAACTGGCGCGACACGCAGCCGTGCTCGTCCGCCTTCTCCTCGTGCTTGGCCTCGACCACCACCTTGCCGTCCGAGATCTTGACCTTGAGCTCGTCTGGTGTAAAGTGCTGTACGTCCAGCTTCATCTCCACCCGGTCCTTGTGGTTGACGATCTCCGAGGTGCCTGAGTTTTGCCTGGGGAGGCCAGAAACGTGTTAAGTCGTCTTGGAACGGGCTAACTAGAAGTGGTGATGCATACTTGGTAGTAAGATAAGTGTAACGCCGAAGTGACCTCACCCACACAGCAGCCCCTACAGCTTTGCCTACAAGGCAGTCACTCAGTCAAATGGGCCTGGTCGACAGAAATCTTACCGACGATGTCGGCCACCTCCCTAAATTTCAATGACAACGAACACCTCGCCGTCCAGCAGCGCATTCGTCTAAGCGTAATCGCTATCACCAGCACATTACCATCAGCAGCAGCAGCAACCCTAAACCCAGTAGTGATCGCCGCTCTCGCAGCCATGACGCGCGGCTAGTGACCAGTGACCGCGGTCATCCCGCCGGAGCGTCCCTGACGTCGGCGCCCCCTCCCCCTTCCCTCCCCCTCTGCAGCGGCCGGTCGCTCACCTGTGGAGCACCACCGGCTGCCTAGTGACGTAGCGACGGCTGGAGCGCAGCGGCAGGTAGTCCTCCACGTCAACGTGGGGCCGGCGCACGCCCATGCCGAAGTGCTGGTCGAACACGCGCGGCGTGCGGTGGCGGCCGAAGTCGCGCAGCGCGTCGTCGAAGAACGGATCGTCGAAGTACATTGGCACCGACATGGCGGCTCTGCGCAGAGAGGGCTGCTTATACCTGGAGTGTCTGTCTTATACACCGGCCTAATACATGTTATGTTATCAATACCTAACGCTGCGGCCTAATACAAGTTATGGTATCAATTTCAATCAGGAGGAGCTGTTTGTTATGAAAACCTTAGTCCATTTATTCGCAACATGATTAACCTGACACAAGGCACATCTGGTGGAAACGCTTACTGGGCCACAGTCCTTGATTTTGGTAATAACGAGGACAAACAATAACGATGAAATAAGTTCAAGTTTAAAAAACTCCACTCAGTCGTAATAGCACATCACGATGCTGACCTTCCAACACAGAAATCCAGCACAGAGGACAGATGCCAGCGCTCGAAACCGCAGGCGGCGTCCAGGAGTTGGGCCCTGCACACAGCCGGGTGAGTACGTTGGGCACACAGCGTCGGATGGACTCACCTGGGGTCTGGGCGCTTGCCGAGCGTCGGACACCTGCGGCTGGAACCGGCGGCGGCTGAGTGGCGGCTGGCGGCGCGGCGCCGCTATTTGAGCGTCGGCTCCGACGGACCGACGAGAAGGTTCGACGCTGACTCAGCGCCGCCTTCGGCACCCGTCTGTTGATGTTGCCGCGGGCGCCGAGCAGCCCGCCGCGCACCCGACGCGATCTCCAGCGCCAGGAATACCGCCCGCGGCCTGATTTAGCGGGCGGGCGCGATGTGTCAGCGCGAGCGGGGCGCGGGCGGGGCCGCACCTGCGCGGGAGTGACGGATCTGGCGGGGCGCGAGCGGGGCCACATCCGCGCGGTGGTGACGGATCTGGCGGGGTGTGGGCGGGTGAAGAGCGTGGGTTTCGCCCCGGCTGGTGTTTGCACAGATGGTGCTGGATCCCGATGTGTGGTGCTGGATCCCGATGTGTGGCGCTGGATCCCGATGTGTGGCGAAGTTCTGGTGACGGACGTTACAGTTTTAGGCATGTTTTCTGCATGTATTATTTTGGTAATGCAATGCGGTTGTCAGGCGAGCTATATGCTTTATGTCAAGGCTGCCTGCAAAGCCATGCCTGAAGCTTGGAACACCACGGATTTGGCCTCATTCAGTTTCGCAAATAGCAGGGCTAGCCGCATACCCGTGGAGCGGAAAAGGGCTTCCTGGCAAACACGTTGAAATGTTCGTTACATTCGAAGGAAAAAGACAAACAGAATGTTTCGCAGCGTATTCTTTGCTACATGGCTTATCCATGCAGAACATTTCCAAAGAGTGCGCGTGTAAGGGATTACGCCTCGCATAAAACACTAATTGGTCGGTTGAAAAGAATGCCTTTTGTTGGCAATGCTTACAGTTCTTCATGGTTTTGAGCTGCATTTTGTGTCATTGTTTGTCGTGAAGACATGTGTTTCTGAGACGTAATAAGGTTCCTGCCTGTCTTTATAATTTTCCCGACATCAAAACATTTATATAGATAAGATTGGCATCACAATGCGCCTCGTGCCAGGCTTAGTCACCACACATACTTGATTTAGTTGTCGCAGTTGATCTGAACAGCGCTCATAAAATATTCCCTTCACCTTGAGTCCGCCATTTCAACTGTAGTTATGGAAACGCACGAACACCAATATTTTTCATCGAATAAGAGAAAGAGAATATGCTCGAATTAAACAACAAATGCACTGAACTCCGGGAGTATGAGATAGGAGACCTAACTCTAACAAAATTGCGCCTTTGATAAACCACGCCCTAGTTCAACAAGACATTATTGGGAGGTATATGATGGGAGGTATTGGGATGGTATGATAGAAGGTATTAGGAGGTATAGGAGGTGTAGGGAGGTATGTGATATGGAAGTAGGAGGCATCAGTTGTGCGGGGTTATCAAGGAAGCTCCGGCTTTATCGAGGCAACTCGATGTTTCATGCTGCGCTCATGATCACAGGTGAGCGAAGGAAAAAAGGATATATGTAAAAACAAAGACGTGCGAATGCCCTAATCTGTGTAGACACTCAATAAAAGACGTTAAGATGACAGGTCAGCTGAGCACCACAATCCTGGCACACGATCTACGGCATAACGCTAAAGCTGTGCGGAGTACAGTCAGCTAAGCCTGAAATATATTATGACACGTACCGAGTATTAGATAAAAAAAATAGGCTGAGCAATCACGACAGGTACCTTTCCTATCACGCCGCCTATTTGAAGAACTTGTGCAGCCTATTTTGCGCTGCCTATTTGAATACCAACCAGATATGTATCGGGTCACAGAAACGTCATGCAAATATCCCCGCCACATTCGCCGCATTGTTTTCATGGTCAAGAAAAAGTGTCTACCATACACTGTTGTTTTATTGCTTTGCAATGTTTATGAAAAACCAGCCAATGTAAATTAAATTTGCTTGCATAATGTAACATGCATCTATGAAGCAAATATTTTCGCCCGCCGCCGGGCTACAACAACATTTTAATAATCAGTCTGCACATGGTGGTCCCATTAATTGCACATGCATGTTCTACACTACCACAAACTGATCTACACCATTGGTCTGCACATGGTGGTCCCATTAATTGCACATGCATGTTCTACACTACCACAAACTGATCTACACCATTGGTTTGCACATGGTGGTCCCATAAATTGCACATGCATGTTCTACACTACCACAAACTGATCTACACCATTGGTCTGCACATGGTGGTCCCATTAATTGCACATGCATGTTCTACACTACCACAAACTGATCTACACCATTGGTCTGCACATGGTGGTCCCATTAATTGCACATGCATGTTCTACACTACCACAAACTGATCTAGACCATTGTTTCGACAACATACCTTTTGTGGTTGATTTAAGCAGCTTGTCTTTAGCCTCAGTATCGTACCAATATTTGTCGAGATGAACTGGTGTTGTCATGACATGCAGTTTTATTGAGCAAGATGTGGTGCGACGCAAAATTCAAGCCAAAGTATCGTATCTTAAATAAAGCAGCACTGCTTTATACCCCCTCACCCCAAAAAGTCGGACTTCCCAGCTAAAAAAAAAAACATCAGGCAAGACGAAAGAAACACGCAGGAGTTAGGCAGCTGGAACGCGCCACCCAGGCCCAGGCGTTGTTTCGAGTGTGGCGACACGGACCACATGAAGAGGGACGGCCCGCTACACGGCCAGGTGGCCTCGGTTGAAGAAGATAAGGTGATGAAGATGTCTCCGCTACTGCCTGGCCAGCGGGACCGGCTGTCGCTGGTCATGGCGACGATCAACGGCAGGACGGCGGAGATGATGGTAGATACCGCGTCACCGGCGCCGGTCGTCTCAACTGGCAGCCTCCCCGGGTTGCACCTGAGGACGTCGCAGCTGAAGCTCCGGTCATTCACTGGACAAGTGGCTCCGCTCCGGGCTGAGGCGACCGTCGAGGTTAAACACGTGGCTTGCGGAAATATCTCGGCGCAGAGGTGGGCGACCGGCCCGGACGCCGCCCTCCTCTAAGACATTGTTGTCTGCGGGAAATCCGACTCGACCAATATTCGACCTTCCGGATCCGCCAAGCGGGTGGTCAGTGGACTCTGGCGCTTGTGGTGGCAGCGCACTCGGAGGTGTTCTCTGAAGGACTGGGACGATGGCGCTGCGGCACACCTGTCGTTGGGGGGGGGGAAGGGGGGGGGGTGACGCCGCGGAGGCTACCGCCACGCCCGGTCCCGTACGCGCTGCTACCGCAGGTGGAATCAAAACTGGAGCGGTGTGTCAGTGAAGGGATTGCGAAAAAGAGCGGTCCGTCGGAAAAGAGTTCCGGATGGGGTGCATCGCTGGTACCGGCGCCGAGGTCATCAGAGGGCGGAAGACTCTGCGCGAGCTACAAGTTGACAGACAACCAGCAACTGATCATTAAGAAGAGGGATGCAGACTGCAGATGCTACCTGGACGACCTGCTGGCTTTCGGCGAAGACGAACAGGAACATGCGACAACAGTCTGCAACAGGTCTCGAAGAAGTGCAAGCTGATGGTGCCTGAGGTCGATTTCCTGGGCTGGAAAGTGACAGCTAATGGCGCCAGCCCGACGGACAGCGGAACAGCAGCAGTGCTGAAGGCACTGGAACCGCAAGCTGTGATCCAGCTGAGGTTACTGCTCGGCTCGATCACGTACTTGGGACGTCTGCTGCCCGGTCTGTCCACGGTGCTGGCGCCGCTGAACGAGCTGATGAAGAAATGCGTCCTGGGGACGTGGACGCGGCAGTGCTCAGCAGCGATGAAAAGGTAAAGGACACGCTGACGAGCCCGATGATGCTCCAGCGGTATGACCTGGTCCTGCCACTGAAGCTGATAACAGACGCCAGTAGGATCGGCGTGGGAGGGGCCCTGATGCACGTGACGCTGGACGGAGCGGAGGGGTCCGCCATGTACGCGGCTCGGATTCTGACAGCGACAGAGAGGAAGTCCGCGCAGTTCGAATGGGGGGGGGGGGGGGATATCGTACGGAGTCGATTTTACCTATTCCTCTACGGGCGCCATTTCTCGCTCGTGGTGGATAATCGCGCACACTCCCGTATCCTGAGCCCCAGCAAGAACTTGCCGAGCCCGGCGGTTGTACCCGACTTCAGCTGACCGCGAATTCGTACACAATGGGCCTGCGGCGGCCTCAAGAACTGCACGTGGCCGACGATCTGTCGCGTCTCGCCGTGCCAGGCACCAGTAGCAAGCGAAAGGAGATCAACGGGAGTCGGTGGTCGGCAGCTGCCTGATGGTTCTGGGCGGGGTGGTGCCTACACTGACGGTATCGGCGCTGGCTACGGCGACGTGACGCGACCCGGTACTGGCAAAGGTGATGGTGTTCGTGCGTTTTAGCTGGCCCGGCAGCGTCGAGCCGGCGCTGACGGCCTGCAGACGGCGCGGGGAGGAGCTGCCAACTGACGGCGAGTGCCTCGTGTGGGACGAGCGTGCCGGCATCCCGCAGCGGCTCCAAGCTGGAGTGCTGCATGAGTTGCACGAACAACTGGCAAGCTCGAAAAGGAAGGCCCTGACGCGCCGATTCGTGCGGTGGCCGGGGCTCGACTGCGAGCCGAGCTGGACGGCCTGGCGCGCAATAGCACTGACTGCGTAAGGAAGCGAGGCCCGCCGCCACACAGCGAATCGCACCCGTGAGAACCTACCGCAGGGCCGTGGGAGTGTGTGCACGTGGATTACGCGGAACCTTTCCAGGGCTCGAGCTTCTTTGTGGTGTACGACAGCTGCACGAAATGGTGAAGTAGCTGCGCGAAACGGGCACGGAGAGCTTGATCCAGGAGCTGCGGGCAACGTTCGCTGGCTACAACATCCCATGGCAGCTGGTGTTGGACAACGGTCCTCAGTTTACATCCACACATTTCGCCGAGTTAATGGCGAGCATATCAGGATCACGCGGTCCCACCCAGACAGCAACGGAGCCGCGGAACGAGCCGTACAGGCTGCCAAAACGGACTGAGGGCGGCGCTGCGGGACAGTGGCTCGCTGTCGCGCCGGCTGCAGGAGTTTCTACCGGTTTGCCGCGTGGCGCCGCACGCGTCAGCGGGACTATCGCCAGCGGATGTGACACTGGGGCGGAACGTTCGGACCCGTCCGGTCCCGCTTCGGCCCGATTCAGACAAGAAGCTCAGGGAGCAGCAGCAGCGTCAGTGAGAGCCACAGGAAAGCAGTCCAGAGCGTTCGAGATGGGCGACGCAGTGTGGGCAGGCAATCATGGCGGCCCGTAGAAATGCGGGCGCGCGACGGTGGTCGGGTGGACGCCGAGAGCGCCCTGTAGTCGTGGCCCACCGATCAGCTGGTGGCGGCGGGAGCCGCCAGCACGGCCGTCCCGGGTTCAACCGACGGGACCGACGTCGTCGAAGGGCACAGTGCGGCTGTCGGGGCCGCAGGTGGACTCAGCTGGAGCACCGTTGGAGCAAGCTGGAGCACGGGCGGAGCTGCCCAAGTAGCCGGCGCTGTGGACGGAGTCGGCGACGGCCGCGTTGGAGCTGGCGGCGTGGGAGCTGGCGGTCGCGGTAGCGGTGGCGGCGCCACCGGGGCAGGCGGTGGTATTGGCGGGCGCCGTGGCGATACCGGGACCGGTGGGTGGGTCTGTGGGGTCGGTGAGGCAATCGTGGCGGATCCGTGGCGCAGATCCGGTCAACGGTCTCTACCGCCTGGAAAACTAGTTGAGAAGACGTGATCGTTTGGGGGGGGGGGGGGGTAGTATGGAATCGTGAGATGCCGTCCAGCTACCACCCGCACCGCTGTAGTTCGGCCACTTCTGAAAAAGGGAACGCGACGCACGTCGTCACGTTTAATGGAGTGCCAGGGCTGCTTTGACCATGTTAACGCTGAGGCTACTTTGGCTGCTGCCGCGCGGTGCGGAGCATCGCGCAGGTTTTGTCACGACAGGGACGCTCACTCTTTTTTCTGTTGTTTTTCCCGCAAATTCAGAGGAAACCTTTCCGGTGACTCCTGTCATGCGACGATGTAAAACAGTGAAGCCCGCGCCGTGTGCGGTGTCACCCCGTCGTGCTGGAATCACTCCTCGTTCCGACTGGTCACCACGATGTCCATGCCCAAAAGGCATGGGTATTAGAGCGGTAGTGTTGTAGCGTTCCGAGATGGTGTTGCCAGGATTCTTGTTGTCATCATCAAGGAAGCACCTTCGGCCGAATCACGATGTGATCGATGTGAGAGTACTCATAACTACCTTTATTTTTAACCGCTGTTGTGTCTGTTCTGCCATTGAATGAGCGCTCAAATGTCACTGCAGTCTCGTTGTGCGAGAAATAAACTTGTCACTGCTGAGCAAAACATTCGTTGCTTTTATTTCGGTCAAAATGCATGGTGCACATCCACTTGTGTAGTCATGCGCCCTCGGAGACAGGTAGCAGTTCAATGTTCTTTTTTGTGCTGTTAAATCGACTTAAAAAGTTTGAAAGCTTTATCTGTCTTCTTTGTCTTGTGTCTTTGCCCTATCTTTGTGCCAGTGCTTCAATTCCTTGGACGTTTTTGCTTGCATTAAGATCCGTGCCAGACTTATCGGGTCTCATATTTTATTCCGTGACAACAAGCAGCAGTTGTGAAATATACAAAAGTTGTCAATGCTGTAAGTTAAATAAGTGTTACTGAAAGCTAGTCTATCTTATAAAGGCTTTCTTCGAAAGTGCACATGGACATGCCATCCACGTGGCAAGAAAGGCAGGCCAGTGTAAAACAGATACAAGCAAAGACATACAGGCGGCGAGTGAGACATCAGCAGCGACATGCATGCAGAGCGCACGGAACCAACATCATGATGACAACGAATTGCCTGTCGGTTGTTAGAAATTTTCATGTTGTCAGCCACATGATTCAAAGCACACGAGTGGGAAACACTCGTGACTGTAGATTAATGTTATTCAATCAAGGATTTCTCATCTTGGCGCTTCTGCTACAGACGGCGCACCGTAAATAATCATCCACGGCTGCTTGCTGCCGTCTGCACCAAATCGGCGAGTTGGAGGCGCGGCCCGGTGGTGGGAGGCGGTGCCGTGAGCGGTTGAGGTGCCTGAGCTCCGAACTACGCGGGTTTGGCACAGGACATCTTCGTGTGATGTCAAACCTACCATGCGGCATATGGCTGTTGGATAAAATTGGATGCTGTTCCGGCTATAATACAAAGGCCCGGAACATCACGTGAGTAGGACCCATGAGTCCCCTCGCTGATCATATCTGGCTAGGCTGAGGTCTTGCATGCCCGCCGATAATCACTTAGCTGTCTATCGCATCGAAATAACTGCCCGTGTGGCGCGTCGGTCCATTTAATTGTAACTTGACTGCCTCTCCCCATCCAAATCCTACCATATGGTACAATATTGCGTCTTCTATGACGTTTTCTTGTTTCAGTGTTCCTTATGATGATATTCTCGTACATTTTGACACACTAAGTATCAGTCGTGACATGCTTGGTGTGTCGAAAATTACCCGATTTTTAAATATAATTTTTGTTATAATGATCTTACATTTATTTGTCTTCCAAACTTAGTCATCTGGCAATCTCTGTGTAGCTCGTTTGGGGGATTATCAGATGCTGATGAGTTTCCATTATACATGCAGGCTCACTTTTCAGAAAATATGCTTATACAGCATACTTTTAGGGGTTTATGGCAAACACTGAAGAGAGCCCGGCTGCAAGGAGTATCCGTAGTGGACAATTGTGCAGCTCATTATACTCCGTGAATCCATTGCAAGTATTCATTTTCAGGTTGTTGCAAAAAGTAAAGCCATATTCAAAAAAAGGATCTCAATGCAATAAAAAGACAAAAATGTGATGTTATCATGTGCAATTGTTGAAAACAGTCAATATTCTTGATTGTGTGGCACCCAATGCCAAGATGAACTTAAAGAGCATGTTGGACCTACCTATTTGAGGTGATTCCATAAAGAATGCATGCCCTAATTCACCTCAGAGGATGCTACAGTCATTGCAGCACATTCTGTCATTGGTGTATTTCTCCAACCAGACAGAAAATTTCCTTGTGCTTTCAAGGGTGCTCCTATCAATGCTTGCAAATGATAGCCATGCATGGGATGCCAGGATACCTCAGTTATAAATATATACAATCTACAGACTGTTGATGAAATTGGGCTGCAGGGGTGGTGATTTAAATGCACTAAGTACATGGTTATAGCCTCTCTCCTGAGTGGTTTGAACAAATAACATGTATCCATTCATGAAGGCTATTTTGTTGCGAGCAGATATAACTGGTTCTAATCTTACCAAGTTACTTAGTATAACTGGCTAAAACCAAGAACTTCATGCTTGATGATACTTGGAATGCTTACAGCTGGTTCTGAAATAAAAAAAGTATGGCCCCAGGGTAAGTTGCAACCACTTGCCCAATAGTCCTGATATTTTAGGGTGTGATTGAGTCAGGTGTACTCATTGCCCTACTTCCAATGCAAGTCACGAAGGTAAGGAGACAGTTTGTATCCTTAATTAATTTGCATTATTTTCATCTAAACTTCCACAAACTTCTGCAATTTGCCCAGGAATGGCAGAAGAAGCTTTGACTTTGGCTCTCCTGGTATGACTACTTGCCGTGAAGACGAGCTGTGTTGTACTGTATCATTTTTTAAGTGTCCTTCCAGTGTCGCAGGCTGGACATGCTGAAGCAATGGCCTTACTTAATTTGCCCGCCACCAACCAGTGTCGTGCTCCGAATCCTGCGTGGCCCATTATGTCAGTGAAGGTCGACTGCATTGAACAGCGAATAGCAAAAACGATACCAGGAATTCAAATGAGCCTTAATTACTTGTAAATCTTAAACATTGGAAACATCGCCCTACGTACGCTAAAACACGCGCGTAGTACGACCCCAAACGGTATGTTTCTCTAGTCGATGTTCGAAGCATGCCCGAAATGTCGAAACATCCAAAATACATTGCAGCGAACGCACGCACAAGCCTAGCTTGCCTCGGTAGGTTATCAGTCATGCAGCTATAACATTTCCCAATGTATACAGACAGAGGCTCATTCGTCTGCGATAGCCAATAGGGATAGCTGTTACAGTTGTGTATTTACGATTGTTGCTACTGTGAATACTGGAAGGTCCGACGTGCAAGGCAACACCAGGCGTTGCAGTCCCCGATGACGACGCGCAGCGACAGCCCACGTATAATACCAGATGAAACGTCTGGCACGCTTCATAGTCAAAGCATATGTCGCTCTTTAGACGAAGGCGTGGTAACATCTCCTTGGATGAGCATGTCAGAAAGAATGGTGTACTAATAGCGCTCGTTTGAAAATAGTGAGACGGTCCCACAACAGACGAGTGCCGCCTGTTCAGTGACCCTTTCAATGTTATATTAACCTGGTAACCTGCAACTACCTTTTTATCCGTGGTACTACTGAGAGGAATTCTTTCGCAAATCGAAAGTGACCCCGTACAAAGATATGGAAGGTGTGCAGGCTCCCGCGGCCCGCACGTCTTGACATATACGAGGGAGCACGTGACTGATCACATATACGTGGTTGTTATTGTCGTAATTAATAGTCCCCGTCTTCGGTGATTTGTTATCATGGTTAAGTGAAAGGGGCTCTAGTTTAACTAATTTTAAAACAATTATGTTTATCGTGTATATTTTAGTTGTTCACATGACGTTGCCTGAATTGGACAGTCTCCACAATGCTGATTTTTGAAAACCTTTGGACATAGTTGAATGGAATTTGACATCACTTGATCCGAGCGGACTGAAAATTACAAGGTATCAGATGAAAGGACGCGATATATGTTTGAGAGGCCGTCCCCGTTGCATCTACAGTCTCGCTCATTTTCGGGGGTGGTGCTTTGAATGTGGAATATGCGATGGTGCGATTGTCCGAAATGTCACGCCATTTGTCGGAGACCATGGCAGATACAAACAAGGCATTAAAATCGCACCGTACACGAAAGCTTTTTTTGAAAGCATGAACTGAACTTCGCCCTTCCGCGTTGTCGCCAGCAACCACACAAGTGTAATGCATGCTACTCATCACAGGATGGAACGCTCACAAAATCACAGAATGCTCACAAAGTCACAGGACGCTCGCAAAGCATATAGTTGATACTACTTATGCAGCGGCCTGAGGTCTTGCAGCACCGGGAACCCTCTGTGGAGTAGATGGGGAAAGCCTCGTTGCTCGGCGCCGTAACTGGACGACCTGTAATAAGTCAGCTCGGCTGATTAGGCCGCAGATGGGGTCCCCGCCGTCAGTATGAGACCAGACCGCGCTGGTGTACTGCTAGAGAGTGGTGTCTTCACCTGGCATCCGACTTCTGCCATGGCGACGCCTGATGTCTGAGAAGCCACGGTCGCAGCCGCAGCCGCTGCGACCTTTCCCTTGGCTCTGAGGTCAGCGGGAGGCTGGGTCAGTGCAGTTGCGCGGAACCGATGTTCTCTGCAGCTGTGTGTTTGTTACGCTGACAGCAAGCCCACCTGCGAACTCGTGTTGTCTGACAGCGTTCGTATAAAAGCACGCCTTTAAGGATGTATTGCACTACACTCACATTTAGGAAAGATATGTACTAAATAAAAATGGTGGATGATGTTGAACTCGGAGCGCGTGCCATGGCGATACAGTTTTGAAGGCAAAGGTTCCATCCTTTGACTGTCGCAACGCGTTTATGGGTTCGGTTCCCCAAATGGTTGCGTCGCTTGTATTCCAGCGATTACTAGCGACACTGGCAAAGCGAAGGTCAGTTTGCCGCGCGATTTCAAAATGAAACAAGTTGTTCGCTTACCCCACAATTTTAAAGCCGTGTTGGTATATCATGCCCACCATTATATAACATGGTGTTTGAGGCAAAAGGGAACAACAGTGTTATGGGCCGTACGTATATGTGTGGGGATAAATTTAAGCGGTCTTGCCGCTAAAAACCGATTGCCGCTAAAACATTGTCATTAAGGAGGTCGCAGTAAGCGCGTGAGCCGTGGGCTACGCCACTAGGGAGGACAGAGGCGTAGAAAATATATTATCCGACTTTTGTGTATTTCACACTGCAACTACGATTTTGCATGGACAGAAATGCATTAAAAACTGTGATGCCTCCTTTGCATTCGCGTAGCCACGACGGAGCCACTGTTGGCACCGGTCTTGACGCCAGAATGCCACCTCTCATTGTGTGTTTTACTCGTGCGCGCGTGCACACGTGTTCGCGCACGTGTGGGTCGTGTGCACGTACGTCATTAGTTGGTTTGTTCGGTTATCGATCTTTGATAAGCCAGGTGATAACGGAACACCGTCCATCTAAGCAATAAACATTTTAGCTGTTTTTTAACGCTGCCGTGCATTACGCTCCCGAGGCCTACAAACTGCGCACTTTAACGAATACATGTAGCGGGTTTACATGAAACAAGTATACTCCGGCGTGCGGCAACTCATAATGCCGAAGTACCAAAATGTGTAGGCCTTTCTTGCTTTTACACTGACGCACACATGGTTTTTACGTTTGGATGGGGTTGAGCCAGGAACTGAATGCAGGTGTCGATACATGTACGAAACCATCTCACAACAGCGTCAGCGTCACGCAATACGTGAGCTTTTTCTGCCCATGTCGCTGTTTCTACCGTTTCGTCTCCAACCGCCAGGTTCAAATGGCTGATATTTATCCTAACGTTCGTCACCTACGCGGCGTTCCACGCCTCGCGCAAGCCCATCTCGGTGGTGAAGAACGTGCTGAACCAGGACTGCGACGGCCACACTCCGCCGCCGGGGGTGAACGCCACAGCTGACCCGCACTGGTGCGACTGGCAGCCGTTCGGTACGTGCAGTCGTGTGGGCGGGGGGAGTGTGTGTGGGGGGGGGGGGGGGGGGGCGTGGAGCTTGTGGAAGGGGCCAGCGGGGGTAACTACTTCAAGACAGATTCCCACCACGCCGCACCCAAGCAGTGCAACTTTTTGTTTGAGAGACGAATCGGAGCAACCACTCCCTAGAATTTTAAATAATTGTTAGAAAAGACGTGAACGGAGTCAGGAAATCCCATTTCGTCGTCGATATGTCCCCGATCACGTCGTGCTTCCCGGCATGAGACGTCGGCGGGCTGCGAATCCGCCCGCCTCGCGGCGTCACTCCATCTGACCGGGGGTCAGCTGTCGGCCCGTCCCCTCGCTGCGGAGTGTAACGCTGGTGGCTGGGGCGCGGAGCAGCGCACTGTGCGGGATTCGTGTGACGGGTGGTCGGCCTCAGGGCTGAGCCCCGCTGCCTCACGTCAGGATTCCACACGTCGTTTTTGTGTTGATCCTTATGGGAACATAGGTCTAACGCCCTGTAGCTTGTCGGGGTAGTTTTCATGTCGCAAACAACGCATGGGTTGCGACATGGCCTTCGTTGGCCGTGACAGCGATGTTTAGCTTCGTGTGAAGTTGAGTGATATGCCTTCAAACTTGGCGGCAGTGGGTAAGACTTGTCTGCATCGAGCATGCCGATTTCAAGTAAAAGTTAGGTTTGCTGACGAAATTGACTGATCGAAGGTGTTGACTGTACTTACCATTTGAGTTTCCTTGCTGTCATAACAAAATTTTAGTGAATCAGTGTTTCGTAGATTTTGGAACTGGAGCAAGCCCCTAGGAGTGTCTGCAGTACGCTCTCTGAAAAGACGTGCGTCTTGTATTAGTGTTCGTACAGTGAGCTGTCAAGAAGCATAGCTGTTACCTCCTGCATAACCATCGTGCCATCTTTTGCCCGCAGTTGGTGTAGATTCCAACACCCTGCTCGGATTCCTGGATTCGTCGTACCTATTCAGCTATGCGGTGGCGATGTTCTTTAGGTAAGCACTATCCGCATGTGTCCTTTCGTCCAAACAGACAACGGACAACTGGATTGTTTCTTTGTCTATCTTCTGACACCAGTCGTATTGTTTGTCGTCGTCGGTCGTCGTGATACTTGCCTCTCATTAGAGACGTCTTGAAGCAGCATTATTGAGGCGTGGGCAGAACACTCCTTTCAACAAGAGGGATACCATATGAATGAGGCAATATGCCGCAGTTTTCAACACATTTGGCTCACGGATGATTTTTTTAAAAAAAGAACACAGGCACGTGTTTCGATAGATCTTACCTCTCCAGTTCCCATTCATTTTGTCTGAGTCTGTCACTCTTGGTAAACGTATGGTAGTTCAGCTCTGCCTCCACTGAAGACTTCCTGTGATACCAACTGCATGTGCGAGTGTGCCCTGTTTGAATAGACTTCAAAAGCGTAGATTGACACCACCAATGAAGAGAATAGTCTTAATTGAAGAGAATCTCGCCGGGAAAATTCCGGGTCGACTTGCGCGTGTGAGCGGATATTCCAGCGCTACGCGGGCACCTCGACTTGACTGAGAACTGAGTGGCCGGAACTGAACAGACCGACAGACTGTACTGCAGCAACGTTTTCGCATTTTCTGCGTTATATTGCAGGGAGCTCAGACTCTGCGATAATGGCCTATTCCTTCCCCGTAGCTCGCTCGTAGGGAATTAAATGTACATGTATACGCAAGGTATTTTTCTCGCGTCCCAACATAGCTCAGTAGGCTGATTGCCCTGTCCAACCACGGCCGCCACAATTTCCAATAAAACGCTCCCGGGCTGAGAGCCTTATCGCACCGTGTTCGCCGCAGCTCCCTATCAACGTATGTATGAAGGACGTAGACGTCCACCGGCGGGCTGGGGTCGGCGTTGCGCCGCAATATTTCCCTGCGCGCCCGTTCGGCACCGACGGTCTTCCTCCCGCGACAGTGGCATGCTGGCGGACCGCATGGACCTGCGATACTTCATGACGGCCGGCATGTTGTTCTCCGCCTCCTTCACGGCCGCCTTCGGCCTCGCGTACTTCTGGAAGATCCACTCGCTGACCTACTTCATCGCTGTGCAGGTACGCGGATGTTGCGGCCGGGAGAACGCTGGCTGTCGCGGGACCTCCGGGCTCCTGCGCTCGTCCCGATGCCGCCTGGTGTTAGCCGCTACCTTGTGCTTCCGAATTGCGTAGCGGTTTACTCGTATGACGTTTTTATTACTGTCTTGGTGGCGGAAGACGTGGGTATTGCTGACGTGTGACTGTCACGGCGTGTGTCGAGTGGTGACACAGCACGGGGTGGTCTGGGTTTGGATCGGTGCTGACGGGTGAAACAAGGCAAAGTTCTGCTAAACAAAGCAATTAGGAGGCGGTTTGTGTGTTCTGATTATGCCAGATTTTGTTGACAAAATTAAGGTAATACCTCACGCATTTTGACTGGTACGTTTTTCAGGTTTGTGATAAAATAGCGCATTGGCTCCAACTTTTTCTCCGGAAGTAGGCCCCTTGGTTTAACTACGTTTTCGGTGTTTGCATGATAAGTTTTACACGCTCACATCTTCAGAATATAGGCCTGCTGTGACCATGTACCTGATCACAAGCCCTGTAAAACGGAGTCTTGTCGAGCTGCCCGCGTTCCTCCCAGTCGAGCCGCGCTGTAACCTCCCCGTCGTCCGCCGTTCCCCCGCGGCGCTGTCACACCCGGCTGTCGGCTACCGCACGCTGTTATGAACGTGCTGCGGCACACGTCAGCTGCCAGTGAGCACATCGTATGTTTGCCTCGCTCTTTGGACACACTGGCAATAATTTCTTCAATCGATGCTCGTGGTAGGATCAGCAGTTTGTGTACTGTCGAACTGCGATCTTAGTACACCATTTGCGGCGAACTTGATCTCTTTCTTGCCCTGCACCCTGCTGGTAAGTTTGCCCACCAAACACGCATTGCGTTAGACGCGGGGGGGTCGGGGTGGGGGGGGGGGGTGCGTCGGGGTTGGGTGGGGTGGGGGAGGGGTCGCGGTGGCGCGGCGGTCTGGGTGGCGGGGGTCGGGGTGGGGAGTGTGTATTGGGATGATTCCGTCAAATCTCTGGAGAACTGTATATGACTCACGCTCTCTGCGGGCTACAGGGCAGTCTGTTATATGTCGACTTTGCTCAGACCCCTGCAGCGAGCATCGCCTGAGTGATTGGGGTGCGAGTAAATGACTTCTGCAGCGGCTGTCCCTCCGCCCGTCCCACCCCCGCAGCCGCCCGCCCCATCCCGTGACCTCGTGTCGCCCTGCTGTGTTCCGCAGATAGCCTGCGGCGCCTTCCAGGCCAGCGGCTGGCCCGGCGTTGTGACGGTCATGGGCAACTGGAACGGCAAGGGCAAACGGGGTGAGACGCACACACTCCTGACGCGGAGACGGCACCCCGCCACACCGGGTGGGCCGTCTACACCCGGGTGGAGCCGCCCCGGCGCCCGTTGCCCCACACTGTTGGCGATCACGTGTGTTGCCGCGGGCAGGACCCGGGCCCAGGCCGCCGCCGCGGACCGGACCCGGGCCCAGGCCGCCGCCGCGAGCCGGGGCCGGACCCAGGCCCAGGCCGCCGCCGCGAGCCTGGCCCGGGCCCTAGCCGCCGCCGCGGCCCGGGGCCGGACCCAGGCCCAGGCCGCCACCGCGGGCCGGGGCCGAGCCCTAGCCGCCCGCCTCGCCTTTGTAACGCCTGCTCGAACCGGCAGGCCTGATCTTCGGCATCTGGAACTCGCACACTTCCGTGGGCAACATCCTGGGCTCGCTGATGGCCTCCGCCTTCGTAGACAACTTGTGGGGCCTCTCTTTCATCGTGCCTGGTAAGTCTCTGCCCCCCTCCCCCCCTCTCCCCCGAGAGTAAACCCTCAGGACGGACCGCAGTTGGCGCCAGCGGTATTGTTTGGAATTGGGCCAAACCACCGGCGAAAGAAAGGGTCGCATCAGGAAGGCCACGCACACTGAAGTGGGGCGTCTATTGATCCACTCCTGCGTATTTAACATGCATTCGGTTAGAATGGGCCGTCTCTGACGAAGCACAAGATTCCTCGCGACCCATCCTGAACACGAATGTTAACCTTCCACAAGATGCCAGGGAACAACGGGACGGAATGCGGCGAGTTCCAGTCGCACGTCACTTATGATACGTGGCAGCCACGAGTATTGCGTCGCCCTTGTCACCACTGTTTACAAGGGAACGTATCTGGATCGGGGGCAAGGCCGGGTCACGGCCGCCAGGCGCCCCGGGTGTGGCCGCGCCGTGTCCAGGTCTCTGTCACCCCGCCGGGGCCGCAGCGGGTGGCATGCGCCTCTTATGTCCCGGCGGACGCAATGCCACACACGAGGGCGCTCCTGCTGGCGGAAGGCCGGGCAAAACGATGCTATAAACGGCCTGATGCCATTTGGTGCGGAACGAGGGAGAACGTTAATGTTCGCGGTTCTTCGTTCGCGGTTCTTCTTCCGGAAAACAAGGCCTTAAAACGACAAGATAGCGACGTGTATCGATGTCACACATACGTGAGACTGAATGCTAATGCTACAGTGTAGAACTTGCGAGCTGCCCGTCAGCGTCATGCCCGGAGCAGGCTTCCATTTGGTTCAGTCGTCGGGTCCGGCCGATGACACCGCCTCGGCGTAGATGGCTGGGGCCTGCTGACTTGACACGGCTGATCGCGACGGAATTCGGTGATGTTTTCGACTCCCGCGGGGCCGATGCTCCGGCTGCAGGAGGTCATGAGGATGGATGGGCCCGTTTGTCGATGTGTCGGGGCTTGGGGATCAGGGTGGATGCTCTATGACGGTAACAGTGCAGAGTCCTGTTTAAGGCGTAGCAACTGTGGTGTCCGTGCCGAGCTATTACTGCTGTCCCACACCGCTGTATCGTGCAGCCTGCTTTCTGTACTCGTACCACACGCTCGTCTACGGTGCTAGGGTGTTGCGAAATGCCTGGTTGAGTGCTGCGGCGATGAATGGACACGACACAGATCTTACATGGCTTATCGGCCGCTGCCCTCGAGTGCTCTCTGCAGGCTCCGTCGGGCGCCGTTTGATGTGGAGCATGTGCTTCGTGCAGATCTTGCATCGCGCGTCCTCTGTCCTCAGGTGCCTTCCTGGCGCTAGTGGGCGTGATCGACTTCTTCTTCCTCACGCCCTACCCCAGCGAGGCCGGCTGTGACCCTCCGGAGCAGGTGAGCCCGCGGCCCGTGCCCCCTATGTCCAGGCCACCGCCCTCCTGCCTGGCCGGAGCAGCCGTGATGCCTTCTAACCGCAGCAGGAGTGCGTCCCCGACACGGCCCGGTTGCCATGGTGATCCTGGAGGTACTGTCCGCTTGCTACGGTTGCCATCCTACGCTGCCGTTGCGGAGCGCGAACGGGGCAGTTGTGCAAAGGCGCTCGGAATTCGTGGAAATGCTCTCGTCAGCGTTCATAGATTATCAACATGGAGTAATCATCACAAATTCCAGCAGATTTTCTGTGTACGCGCACGAACTCATATGAGGTAATTCGGGAGGTGACATTTTACTGGCGACATCAGGTTTAAAAAACGGGCGAAAGAAACGATTTTTCTGTACGCGTGTTTGGTTGCATGTTGCGTATGAACGGCCTACACCCATGTGAACAGTAATTTGTGCCAGCGGCATACAATTTCCGTTGGCGGTGCTGGGTAACAAACTAAAAGCGATTTGTGGTGAAGGTGCATGCTTCTTGAAGGTGACCGGTGCAGTGGCAGGGCCAGCGTGTTCAGTCACTTGAAACACTCGGTGGCGTTCTATTCGGCTGCTCACACTGCACTGCCAGAGTTGCGCGGTCTCCATCTCATACCCTCCCCTCTGCGCCGTACTCACCGCCCGTCACCTCGCTGCGCCAGAGCCGCTTTCTCCACGCCTCCACCGTGTTGACCTGTATGTGTCGGCGCGGGCGTCAAGCTAACGTTCCCCCGTCAGTCGCTCGTGCTATACTAGGCGCTGCGGGACGTCGTGATGCCGTGTGAGCCAGTGCTCGGCGCGTGTGCCGCGCCGGCCGCCGGTAAGTACGGCCGCTGTCCGGCCGTGAGCGGCGTGTCGGGCGGCGCCGGCCGCCGCTGGTAGCCAGCCGTACTGCCGCCAGGAGCCGCTGCTGGACTCGGCTGAGGCCCCGGCCGGCAGCGACGACGACAGCGCCGACGAGTGCAAGGCGCTCACCAGCGTGGACGCCGCGGCCGCCGCCGTGAGTGGCCCCGCGTCGCACGCTCACCGCCCGCCGCTCACCGCCTGCTGCCCACCGCTCACCGCCCTCCGCTCACCGCCCAGCTCGCACGCCGCACGCCTCACCCGCCCCGCCTGGTCGTGTAACAGGGACACCGCGATTCTACAGCTGCATGCAGGACTGTAACCGCCAGGACGCGAACCGGGAACCGCCACCGTTGTGTTTCGGCTGCCCCCCGCCGAATGACGCGATATGTCGCTCCGCTGATGGCCTTGGCAGTTACACGCGCCGCGCGACTGGCCAAAAATGTCCGCGGCTCGCATGTCATGACCGCGTGGGGATGCGGACTGCACCACCCTGGGCAGTGCTTTGCACGCGTGTCCCATGGAATGCCGCACGGTCAGGGCCCGCTCCAGAATGCTTGCGTCGTTGCAGTATCGGATGATTGATCTCTTGCCGCTGTCTGTGTGACCTACCCAGCGCTGTTTCCGGTCCGCCTCCGCAACACGCTAGCCTCCAATGTTTTACCCGTGCCGTGCTTGTCGTCGCCGCGCGCATGGTGGCGGGATGCTTCCTCACTCGGCGCCTATGTTTGAGGCCGCCCGGGTCACGGGAGACAGACTTACAAGCTCGCGTCGCAGCGAGGTCCTGTGACCCGCGCCGCTCCCTGTGAATACAAGTCAACAGTCCAGGGGGGGGGGGGGGGAAGGGGGTGAAGTTATGGTTTACGATGGGTGTCACGCGCTGAACTCTCTCGATGTTGACGCCGCCGAACACACAGACGGGAAGCCAAGCTCCACTCACAGATTGATGCACTGGTTGTAAGTTAAGGACATGCCAGACGCACGGTTTTTTTCTCCGGCTGGAGGAGGGCGTTTGGGCGTTTTGCTGTGTGAGCTGCATGTGGGGATAAACAATGTTCTTATGCATTTTATATCTTTCTGTTTGATATCTGTTGTTGTTTTATGCCCTCATAATCATGCAAAGCTATGGCCTAAACGTGGCCCCAATGGGAGGTGCGTGTCTCCCAGTCGTACATGCATTTGACAGCAGCCTAGTCGACAGTAGTACGACCAAAGATAAGGCGCACGAGTGAAAACGTCGCGATTCTGCTGTATTTTCTGGGGCTTGAAAACTGCTTTTTGGAGTCAGAGTCCTCCGCCTACTGTAGAAAAGCAAACGAGCGGAACATTTTTGGTAGGCCTGCCACTTAAGGAACATGTTAAGCTCTGGCGGTTTTATCTGCGTACCTGAACGGCGCATTGTCACGCTCCTGTTTTTCCTTTGTACCCCCTTCAATCACGTTTGGTCGCTGACTCCTGCCACCTGCTACGATGCTTGGTGTGGCGAGACGGAGACCGGGTCCACCTGAGCCGCAGCAGCAGCCGCGAAGGTTCCCGCGTTTGCCTGGTCCCAGCCGGACATACACAGCCGGCCTCTGTCGCGGCCCGGGCGATGCTTACCCCGGGCGTCACGCGGCGCTCGCGGGCTTCAGCTGCCCCCCTCCCCCCCCCCCCCGCTCCACACAGACTGCACGGCGCACCGCCGAGCGTGACGCAGGCCGCGGCTGCGGCTGCCACGCACACTTGTGGCGTGGCGCCGTTGGCACGACAGGAACGCTGCTGCCGTTGTGTGCAACCGGACCCGTGCAGTCGGTCTCGTGGTCTGCGTCATTGTTAGCGCTGTGTGTCCTGTATGAACGGCTCGCTGATCTCCTGCAGTAATGACTGTGTCGCTTGGGGGTCTGAACGTCCGCCTGCGTTATCAACTCACACACCGGGTCTTTGTTAGTGGGAAGTTTGGATGCCGAGTAGTTGCGGTCACGTCGGCGGCAGAGAGTGGGAACGCTGGGCTCATTCGCCCTTGTATGAGGCGGATACGTGGGCGCGCATCCCAAAAACCGCGGGTGGTGGACTTGTCTATGACGGTCACATGACAGTTGGGTAGGAAAGTTAGGTTGGCATGGGGCGGCCGTTGTGGCAACCCGTTGTTCATTGAAACCACGTTCATTTGTTGCACTGACGTTGTTCCAATGACGGGGATCTTCGCAAGAAGCTATGCTTGGCAGGCGCGTTGAACCCAAAGCCATCCCCGCAAAATGTTCGGTCAAAAGGCTCGAAACCGAACGGGAACGGTTTGTTTCAGACACAAGGTGATTTCAGACAGGGCAGTACTTGTTTCTTTTTGTCGCGTTTTGGTAACATTGCCGGCATGTGACCAACGTATTGTGTATGGCAGGATCCGCGTACACGTGCCACTAATGCAAAATCTACCATATGTGGTCAGTGTACGTTTCTGACGTCACAAGGATCATTTGTGTACGCAGCATGACGGATTGCTGCACGACGCTTCCTCTGGCTTAAACGTCGAGACACGTCCCGCTAGACGAATATTCAGCCCAGGCGACTAACCTTTCCATGGCTTAAGACGTCGAGACACGTCACGCTAGACGAATATCTGCCCAAGGCGACTAACCTTAAATTCTATTATCTTTGACCGAACTGTTTCTTTTGTGGTCGCGTCTTGTGCAACTATCGCGCGTAATCATTCGTCGCAATGCATTCCAGCTAGATATCAAATCAGATGCAAGGCTGTGAGTTCGGCCGTAGAATTCCGGTCCGAAAGCACTATTCTCATGTTTCTTCTGCATGCGAGCTTGCTTTCAACGCGACCTGGTTTTGTCCACATTTTCCAGAAGCCCTCCGCGCATCGGTTATCATTTGTTTCTCTGGGTACCACGATGGCCCCTCACCGGCCCGTACAGCGCCCACGCTTGCCATCCACTGCGGGCGATTGGCCGGCCGTCGCTGTGCCGCTCTGGCCGCTGACTATCACAGCGGGTCGTGGGGGGGAGGAAGGGGGGGGGGGGGCACTGGGCCGGCGGCGCAGCCGCCCGGCGTATGGAGCTTGTCGCGAACGGCGGAGGAGCGGAAATAGCTCGGACCAGGCGGAGAGAGATAAGCCGCCCCAGGGGGAGGGGACCAGCTGTCGGGAGGGGTAGCCGCTGTCGCTGAGTGGCCGGCCTCGCCGGCGTGGGTGGATGAGCCAGCTGTCGGTGAGTGCCTCGACCTCTCGTGACGCGTGGCGCGCTGGTGGTCCATCGCTGCCGCCGGCGGCTGGCCGGTCGAGCTGGCGCCGCTGGCACGGTGCTGGATGCACCGCGCGCGGAGCACGGCACCCGAGGGGAGCACCGCTTGCAGAGCCCGCAGCTGTGCTCTCGCGGCGGTTGTTGGTTGGGAGCACACGGTAGTTCACAAGTGGAGTTCGATGGATAATATACATATATACATATATATATATATATATATATATATATATATATATATATATATATATATATATATATGATATTCGTACCGTCAGGGCGCTGTTGTGCCGCCGATGGCCTTGCGTTAAATACTCAGCGCGCTGCTGCATATAGAACGATCGGAAATGCCTCGAGGCTCTGGCGTGCGTCTGGCCTATGTTTCTAGGCTGACCCAGTTCTCGTCGCCCGGTCTGCTGCTATGCCCGGCGTCTTTGGGTCGCATATCTGGTTTGGCTATCAATGCGTAGGGTCCTTTGACTTGACAAAGCTAGCATGTGCCCCTTGTTTATTGGAGTTTTTCATGTGTACTTATTTGCCAGAAATCATTCGAGGAATGAGGACAGCAGTTCGTTCGTGAGAATAGCTAGTGTCGTCATTCGTGCTGAAATTTTCACCCTAATTTTGTCTTGCCTGTGAATTGCTTCATGTTTTCAATCTGCGCATCGTTCCTTTGCTATTTTGCTAATCTTCAGTGCGTAATGAACGTTGCGATCACCTTACACGCACACACACACAAACATATATATATATATATATATATATATATATATATATATATATATATATATATGCATATATATATACCTATGAGGAAGTTACACAGATGTACCCTTAAGTGCGGTACTTGCAACAGCGTGTGGTGTGGCAAGTATATGATGTCTGCCCCCTCCCCCCGCCGTCCTGTCCGGTCACGTTTGTCGGCGTGCGACTAAGAGCAGTGCGCACAGCGCGGCGGCTGCCGGCTGCCGCAGCAGCGATAGGCCTGATGAGCGCCGTCCATTCCCGTCTCATGTCGGCTTGACTGCTTGGCCCTCCGCTGACGCCTGATGAAGTGGCGAATACTGAGGCGCAATGTACCGTGCTGAGGCGCAATACTGAGGCGCAATGTACCGTGCGTCCCATGGAACGAGAAGAGGCCGTGATATGCCGTGCTGACAGTTGTAACGAGAGGAAGCCGTTGCATGCCGTGCTGACGATGCCAGGCGACCTGTATTCAGACACGTGCCGGGATCCCAAGGGTGGATCTCGGACCCCATATGGCTCCATGTTTACTAGATCCTAGCCTCTTTCGGGGCTCCAGCCGCTTGTCTGCCTGTATCTGGGGAGCAAAACTGGCCTCAGCTCGGGCTTTGCGAACCCGTGGCTTTCCTTCAATGGCTCTGGCTTTGATTTTGTCTGTGGGACATTTTTTCTCAGCTGGCTTCGGTTTGTGGATCGTTTTCGGAGCATTTTAAATATTGACCTGGGCTTCAACTTCGGCTCTGCGTCGTTTTTGACAGCCGGCTTCGGCTTCCGCTTCGGCTCAGAGCAGGTTTTGAGTCTTGGCCCGCCTTCGCCTGCATGCGATGTTGAATTTCTGACCTCGGCTCTGTCAAGAGAATCTTTTTCACTGCAGTTACGACTTCTGCTCCAATATGCGGCACAAGTTTTCTGGGATGGGTCGCATGCGTGGGTGAACGCCAGAAAACAGCCTGCCATCCTTGGGACCAACTAACGCCTGACAACGGCGAAGTACTATGTGTCCAGAACGTTGTGCACGCACTAAAACATAAGACTAGGACGGTGTCCGGAATTTTTCATTCCAAGTGTTGATGCCTCGTTTCAATCGCTCCGCAAAACCCTGATGCTGTTGTGTAAGCCCACACAGTTTTCGGAGACACAAAAATAGCTTCGGTTTCTCAAGACATTGTTGATCAGTAGACTTGCCTTCGGCTTCGGTCTGGTTACTGAAATGCATGGGCTCAGCTTTGGCGTCGCGTTTCCAAAATTCAAAACCGTTGACTCGGCTTCGGCTTCGCGAGTAGAAACGTTAAGACCACCGACTTCCGACAGGGTTCACGTCTTTCAAATACGAGTCCATTTGCTTTGGCCTCGGCATCGTAGTTTTAAACTTCAAAACCACTGGCTTTGGCTTCAAATTCGGTTTCATTTCATTGGCTTGTGCTGCATATTCGGTTTCGAAGCCAGACACCTGGTTTTGCCCCCATGCCTGGCCTGTCTGTTCCTCTTCTAACGTCCAATATGCATCGTGACCCGATAAGGAAGCCTGTAGGAACTGCGTCTTGCCATGTATGTCAGGTTGCTTATGTTCCGCTTTTCACGTCGAATGGAGTCGTGGATCCCTCTGCTGACTTCCGATGGAGAGTGTGTTTCTATGCTGACTTCCAATCGATAGTGTGTCCCTCTGCTGACATCCGACGGACAGTGTGTTCCTCTGTTGACGTACGATGGGTCCTGTGGCCCTCCGTTGACGTGTGATGGACCCTGTGACCATCTGTAAACATGCGATGGATCGTAGACCATCCGTTGACGTCAGATGGCCACGTGTCCCTTTGTTGACGTCCGATGGACCGTGCGTCCCTCTGCCGATGTGTGGTGGGCCGTGTGATCCACCGCTGACGCCTGGTCGCGCTGCCCGCTCGGCTGCTGCAGGCCTACGGCAGCACCGAGTGCCGGCACGTGGGGGCCGTGGCTGCCTCCGCATCGGCCGACGAACTGGCAGAGCTGATTGACCAGGTGAGTGTGAGGGGCGGGGCTGCCGACGGGGGAGCGTGGCCAAGTGAGTGTGAGGGGCGGGGCTGCTGATGGTCGAGCGTGGTCTGGTGAGTGTGAGGGGCGGGGCTGCCGACGGGGGAGCGTGGCCAGGTGAGTGTGAGGGGCTTGGCTGCTGATGGTCGAGCGTTCTGGTGAGTGTGAGGGGCGGGGCTGCCGACGGGGGGAGCGTGGCCAGGTGAGTGTGAGGGGCGGGGCTGCTGATGGTCGAGCGTGGTCTGGTGAGTGTGAGGGGCGGGGCTGCCGACGGGGGAGCGTGGCCAGGTGAGTGTGAGGGGCGGGGCTGCTGATGGTCGAGCGTGGTCTGGTGAGTGTGAGGGGCGGGGCTGCAGACGGGGGAGCGTGGCCAGGTGAGTGTGAGGGGCGGGGCTGCTGATGGTCGAGCGTGGTCTGGTGAGTGTGAGGGGCGGGGCTGCTGATGGTCGAGCGTGGTCTGGTGAGTGTGAGGGGCGGGGCTGCCGACGGCGGAGCGTTTTCAGGTGAGTGTGAGGGGCTTGGCTGCTGACAGTCAAGCAAAGCATTAGGAGAGGGTGTCATGTCATGTCATGGGGCTTTACGACGCACTCAGCTGCTGAGGCTATATGGTGTCACCTGCCTTTCACCCTGGCAAGAAGGGCGGGCACCGCGGGGAATCGAACCCCTTACCTCAGGTTTTCCAGACGCGCATTGGTTAACGCAGATGCATTAACCACTGCACTACCGGCACCCCACATTAGGAGTGGAGGATTTGGTCTCACAGTTTACCGCTCAGAGTGCTCGTGCGAATGGCTGTGACTGTTACTGCTATTCTTGTCTGATCGCTGTGGGCTGTCTCTGAGGTGCTCAGCTGAGCTGGCAAGCCCGGCATGTCAGTGAAGGCACTGACATGTTCAGCGGTGTTGTTGCCACTCTTTCGCTGACACGTTGACTGAGTAGGACCAGCTTATGATATTGTATTATTTCCCGACGTTTCAACATGCATGCTGCTATATGTGCTCCAAACACGCGGGTACGGAAACAATCTATATGCCTTGGTTAGTCGTTTTGGGCCCCGTAAACCTACGCAAAACGCAATAAACGCCTGACGTCCGAGAAATGGAAACGTTCGAGAAATGGAACATACGCGCATGCAAGTCGCGACCCGATCCATGCCTGACCGGGGCCATGTGACCCGACCTCGCCTAACCTGATCCGTGTGTCACCTGACCTGTGCGTGACATGGCCCTCATATGTGACCTGGCCCCCATGTGTGACCTGACCCCCATATATGACCTGACCCTTGTGTGACCTGATCCGTGTGTGACCTGAGCCGTATGCGACCTGACCCGTGCGTGACCTGACCCTGTGTGACCTGACTTGCGTGACCTGACCCTCATGTGACCTGAGCCGTGTGTGACCTGACCCGTGCGTGACCCGACCCGTGTGCGACTTACCCTGTGTGACCTGACCTGCATGACCTGGCCCTCATGTGACCTGACTCGTGTGTGACCTGACCCGTGTGTGAACTGCCCCAGGGCTCGCCGTCAGAGGAGAGCGGCTCCGAGACGGACGTCTCCTCGCGGCTGGGCGAGGACGCCGCCAAGCAGCCGGATGACCCGCCGACGGCCCAGGAGGAGGCCGCTATCAGCTTCTTCAGGGCACTCAGGATCCCGGTGCGTCCTCGCTCAGGGACGCTGTCCCGTCAGCGGCGTCACGCCAGGCACGCGTGACGAGAACAGCGTCACATGAAGGACGCGTGACGAGAACAGCGTCACGCTCAGACACGGTTCTCGGCGCGACGTCCTATGCTGAGAAGTCTAGCCAAACATGCTTGGACAGTGACGCTCACAAAATGTATCTTTGTAGCTTTGTGCACACTTATTTTGCTATTATGAGCAGCGTAAGTTTACCCAGAGTTTCTTGACTTAAATAGCAATGCTCAACTGCACACTTCACTTCATCCAACGTACCCGAGGTGAGATCGAATTCCATGAGGCTTGGGACAGGCCATACTTTTCAGGTATGTTATCTGAGACAAACTAGATAGTAGGCATGGCACGATCATCACTTTTCACCTGCGGATGCGTTAAGAGCGCCCGCGCAGTACATGGAGGGTGCACCCAAGCAGACCACGACCGGTTGTAGCCAGATCCAATCCGGTGTAATCCGGTTAAAGCTGCCGTGGTCCAGTCTTATGCGGACAACCCCTTCCCACCACATCTTCATTTTCAGCCTGTCTCAGCCCGCTCTAGCATGACCTAGCGTGACCCAGCGTGACCTGTCGTGACACAGCATGACCCGGTGTGACCCAGCACAACTCAGCGTGACCCAGCGTGACCTAGCATGACACGGCATGACCTAGCGTGACACAGCGCAACTCAGCGTGACCTAGCGTGACCCGGCCTCACTCTGTCTGACCGGAAGCCGTGTTGCCAGGGTGTGCTGCCATTCGCCATATGTCTGTTCTTCGCCAAGCTGGTTAGCTACACCTTCCTCTACTGGCTGCCGCGCTACCTACACTCGGCAGGTAAGGTCAGAGAGGGGGGGGGGGGGCACCCTTGAGAGGTCCTCAGCGTCGTTGACGCCGTGCCACCGACTATCAGTCTCATGGCCGTGTGTGTGTGTGTGTGTGTATGGTGTAAGTGCGCAGGCTGTCCCACTACCGCCCAGGAATCGAAGGTATCATTACGGCCAGCTTTTGAAACGCAAGAAAACACGAAACTGAATGACTGCCTGTGTTGCCTTTAATCGACGAGGCTGAACTGGTCAGGGCCGACGCCACTTCGGTGTGGCCTGTCTGTTCTGTACCGGTCTTTTTTAGCCTTGTATAGCTAACGAGGACGAATCAACGCCCGTTGTCTGCGATAGGCAAGTTTCAGCTGGGCTCGCGTGATGAATTTCGTGCGGAGGAGTAGGGTACGTCGAATTTCCTGTAGTGCTTTACTCCTGTCGCCTGCCGCTGGGCTCGCGTGCTCCTCCGCGCCAGCCGGTCACGCTCGGTGCTGTCCTCCACCCCGCAGCCAAGTACAGCCCGAGTCAGAGCGCCAACCTGTCGACCCTGTTCGACATGGGCGGCATCGTGGGCGGCATCCTGGCCGGCCTGGCCAACGACTGGACGGGCGCGCCTGGCATAGTCTGCGTCTGCCTGCTCATCATCGCCATCCCCATGGTAACAGATGCCGGACCCGGTGCTGCCGTCTGCCCGGCCGCCGGTCACAGTCGCCCGACCCCTTGCCTGCGTGTGACTGTGACCCACGCCACCGGTGACGCCGCCACCGGTGGCAACATCTGTGCACGTTCGGGAGGGAGGGAGGGAGGGGGGGGGGGGGGTGCCGCATCGGTCTCGTCTCGTGGTCGCGTCCATTGGGTCGACGGGCGGCCCTGAGGCCAAGCTGGCTTGGCTTCGATGAGAAGGCGGCTCTACTTTCTCCAGATTTTGTAGCCAAACCTCTCGCAAACCGATGATCAAATGATACGAATAGGCAGACCAGTTGGCCGGACATTCCAGCTTCATGTATTCCTAAAGCATGCCTCCCACCTTCACATCTGCCACCGAAGGAACGTTTCCTGGGCTGATTCCTTTGCACTCCCTCATCGGTTCATGAAAGGTTAGGTACGAAATGGGGATATTACGTGATGATATTCGTGGGGATAATCAGGACGTCATGTAGGAGAGGCCGGATATCAGGCAGTGACCAGTGTCAGGCGGAGCACCATCTGCTCCTGTGGAACCACCGTGTAATACGGCCGTTATCAAATATTGGTACATTGGGCGGTGGGTGGTTCACGCTCTGGTGTAACTGGGTCCCCGCGTGTGTCAGGCATGTTCGTGGTCATGTACCCGTTCATACATTCGTGTTCGTTTACTAGAGGGCGGCTAGCGCGCCATCTGCTCTTTTGGAACCTCCGGCGCTCGCCGCATGTTTGTGCACTGGGCGTGTGCATGGAGGGGATGCACGGGGACGACGCTGGACTCGCCGCCCTCGCCGTGATGTGCCCTTGCGCTCGCTGCCTGACTCCTGCAGTGACCGAGCCACCGCCCCTGCCAGATGTTCGTGTACCAGGCGGTGGCCACGTACAGCCACATGCTGAACATGCTGCTGCTGGTGGTGGTGGGCCTGCTGGTGAACGGGCCGTACGCGCTCATCACCACGGCCGTGTCGGCCGACCTGGGCACCTCGCTGCGCGGCAACGCCAAGGCTCTGGCCACCGTCACGTCCATCATCGACGGTATGTCACCGTCACGTCACGGCCGCCGTCACGTCACGTCACGGCCGCCGGTGACGGCGGAGATGTGCCGCCAACGGAGGAGCCGTGCTCTGGTGTTCAAGCTGTGTACGTCGTGTGAGGGTGTTAGGTAGGTTGTGGAGCTGTTGTGATGCTCTATAACCTCTGTTTCGGTCGTGCGACTTCCAACTCACTGTCTGCGGTGACTTCCTGAGCGGTATTCCTGTATCAATTGAATGGCCTCGTAATGACCTTAACGGAATAGCTTGTCTCAAGTGGTGACCTAATGACACGACTGAAGTGGCGTGCGATTTGGCGATGTGCGATTCTGGTCTCGTTGTGAGATACCCTCAGCGCCGGTCTCCGAGCGCTCTTCTCCGCGTGGCGGTCCCCTGGCCAAGCCCCGAGTCCCCGATCCGGGGGTGTCCGCCTCGCAGCGGTCTATGAGCGCTACCCCGCCACAGGCACGGGCTCGGTGGGCGCCGCGCTCGGTCCGCTGCTGGCCGGCGCCGCCTCCAGCGGTGACAACTGGACCGGCGTCTTCGTCATCCTCATGTGCTCGGACGCCATAGCTGTCGTGGTCAGTGTCCTGCCCGCGCCTTCTCCCCGTGTTCAGCTGGTCAGCCAGCTGACTGCAGCCATCTGGCCTGCGGGTCGACGGTTCAGGCTTCTGTTAATGCATCCCACGGCCATTTCTCGGAGGGCTGTGTAACCTGTATGGTGTGGGGGTTGCTGGCATGGAGTCACTCTTCCTTGCTCTTGAATTGAACCCACTTCTGAGTGGCCTGGCTTTATTTCGTCCAGGAGCCGTCCAATTCCACGTCAGTGTGAATGAGTTCGCTACCTGCATATTCTGTGTTTTCTGTTTGCTTCACAGCCCTGCACTGTGTGCCGATTACAGGGCACTGCATTGTACATATCGTAAGCAGCCGCGGACGTCTTCGCGTCCCGCTCGCGAGTGTCGTGTGCCGCCGTTGACGCCGCCGGCCGTTCCAGTCGCTGGGCTGGGTGCTGCGGCGTGAGATGCGCGCCATCTCGCGGCGGCGCCGCGAGGGCCAGTCGTGCACGGCTGTTGAGGACACGGCGTAACCGACCGGAGACGGCGCTGGAGCTAGACGGTGCTGGACGGGAGCTGCGCTGAAGCTACGCCACCGAAGCGCGACCGGTGCTGACATCGGCGCTAGCGCGGGAGCTGCCCGGTGCTGAGCTGGAGCTGCGCCGGAGCTGTACCAACGGAGCGCGGCCGATGTCAGACGGAATCTCTGGCAGGGCTGAGGTCAGCTCCCGGCTCTCAGGCTTGTCAGATGGGATGTGCAATCGATGGATGTGGCTGACGCTGCCTCGGCTGGCGTGAGCTGTGGGGCGAACGAACCGCGACTCTTCATGCCCAGCAGATGGCAGACCGCAGGCTCTCCCACGCCGCCGCAGTTCTTTGAAATCCAGGGCAGGGTGTACCCGCGGTGGACGTACGTACGGACGCGGGGCACGAACATTCCCCTGGACGGCATGTAAGTGGGGAAAGACCCCGTTTGCCTCGCTCAGGTAACTAGAGTTCTCCATTTCTGTCTCTCTATCTCCATAAGAGTCTCCCCATTGCCGAGCGCAATCAGAAAGGCACACTTTCCGTTCAGCGTCCTTAGCAATGCTGTGTTTTGGCTGCGTCAGTCAGCTAGCAACTCGTCCACACCAGCGCGCTGCGTTTAAAGCGAATGGCCTGATGAAGCGTGCTTCCCCTGGACAGTCTTCCGCATGTCCGGGCTCTTTCGCCGTATCTGTCCTAGTGCGAGACCGCGGCCCAGCGCGTTTTGGCTGGGTTCTGTGTTCAGTTCGTCACAGCACACATGGACGCCCGACCACTCGTCATACTGTGATCTTCTGGTGGCGGGGGGCCCCGCCGGCTTGCAGCAGGCGACGTAGGTTCAGGGTAGATGGGCATGACATTGGACGGCTGCCGACGAGCTTGGGGGTGGGAGCGTGTGAAAGCGGACGGGCTTCATGTGATCGCAAGTATTTTAGTGCCGTGCATGACGAAGCGAGTGGAAACAGTTGTGGCGGGGTCCATCACTGTTGTGGAGACATGCCTTGGCTGTACTGGCATTCCCCGGGGAAGGTGCGACATTAGTTTTCAACTCTCATAGTACCCGCCGCCTGCCGCGCTCTGCTGTAGATGGGGGTAGCAATCCGTGGCGGGCGTAATGTTTAAGACGTTGTATTTATCGTAGTGTTCTAGACTTGTCCATAGCGGCCGATCTCTGGTATGATGGATGTTTGCCAGATCATGCTTCGTATTCTTCCATATATCACCCGGGAAGCTGATGTATCTAGTCCAGTGGAGACTCTCCATGACGATGGATGGGGAGGGGGGATGGCAGTCAGGCATTCTCCCCGTTAGGTTCCTCTTGCCTCGTTCAGACTGCGCCACAAAGACAGACGATCGACTTGGGTCATCTCAGGACCATCACGATTCGCCGCGCGCCCCGCATGGTAGCACCGCTGGACCGGGTCTGTCGGCGGCCCGTGGAGTCGGCTGACATGCGGCTGACGGCAGTGCCCTCTGCGTGTAGCTGGAGCTTACGTTTTTGCCGGGCAGGCGGCGCTGTCATACGTGGTCTCGGTGTATCGCGTTCAGGGTTATTGTACACGTCGACTCACAATCATTCTGCAAACGCTCCTTCACCTCTGCCTATCAACTCTACTTACTTTGACTTTACACACGTTATTGACTTTGACTTTACACACGTTATTGACTTTGACTTTACACACGTTATTGACTGACTTTACACACGTTATACCTCTAACTTTGACTATACACACGTTATTGAGTTACGTAACGTGTCTAGTGCAGTCACACATACTTATCACTCATGCACGTGCGATTTGGATTCCAGATGACATTGATGTTCTTCGTTTCGCCAGATTCTTAGCAGTGTTGCGGTATAAACTTTATTTCAGGTATTACGACATTAATTTAATAACACAGAACTTATCACCTTACTTCGGCCCCCAAGCCTCCAGTCGCAGCAGCGCCGCTGGCTCTGTCCGTGCGTGGACGGGCTGTGCGTATTTCACAGGAAAAACCCGAGCCGGGACTTGAAAACGACCCTTAAGGGTCCTGGGTTCGGGACCCCGACCCTAGTTTCGTTAGCCCGCTGGCCGGAGCCAGCTGTGTGATGTGCGCCTCCTGCACCAGCGCAGGTGCCATCGAGAAACATTCATTGTGAGGGTGCTCTGCGGGGCCGGCCGCGGGCTCTCCTGGACCTTGTGCTTATCGTCGCCTCGTGTTATTTCCTGTGGTGCGTAATGTTCATTATCCTGTGCCGTGTTGTGGAGATTGACAATACATGTATGTCAGCAACGGTTGCTTTCTTTCTTGACCCGTCGCAAGGTGACTTGCCGCAGGAAACAAGCCGCAGAAAGCGATTCGAACTGCGCAGATCTTGTGCTGCAAATCCGCTCATATTAATCAGTTAATAAGTCCGTCCGGCTGTGTTTAGTTGCGGGTGATCCTGGTGATACTGCTTTCTATTCTCCATGGTAAATGTTTGTGCGACGCGCTGCTGCAGCGTTGCTAGTCCTGATAGCGCTGTCGGGGGCATGTTCGCCAGGAGGATTGACAACTGAGGTTTCCGAATCAGTGACAAGATTGGTTGGCGAGTGAGAGAGAGAGGCGTTCTCAGCACACGGTACATTGACAGCAATGGAGTCGACCGACGCCATGTCAATTCACAATTGCTACGCGCAATGAAAGGCCAATGGTCCGCAGCAATTAATACAATTGAAGGAGCTCGGTCCAGAACGTGGTGAAACGATACAAAAGGGCGAGCGAAATATAAAACACGTCATCTGAAGAGGCGAAAGAATATTTAGCGCCCACGGTGACTTCGAAGTGGACTGAATCACCTTACAAAGCGTAACAAAGGCTAATTAACACCGTGGCTGAGTTCAACTATCATAATCTAAAAGACATCCTTGGATAACCGTGTGCGACACGAGGTGCGCGAGTCAGGCACACACCATTGGTCTACTCAGAAGCACACGCGCCACGTGACACACGAATGACGCACGTCCGAAACGGGTCTATCCGGATCGGTACGACGTTGACATCCAATACTCTGCGTGCTTATACGGACTCACCTTTATGAGCACATGCTATTAGAGCTCCTTCCAGCAGGGATTTTCTCATCTCAGCTAGATTACTTATAGGCACAGATATGTATGTCAGCAACCTGAGCTAAACTGAACTTCTCACATTACACACACAGAGATCACCAGTCACAAGTAATGAATAGCCGTCTCGTAAAACAGACATGAGACCGCCTACATAGACCAAGAACCAAAGATAGGCCGCCTAGTAAATGCCAATACGGAGAGGGCATAGCAAAATCCCCCTCACCCACACACACACGCAGACCGCCTGGTATAGAAGACATTTATAATGTTTATATACACTTCTAGAGAACGGCTTAGTTCAAGGGTTCAGACTGGCAAGCTCAAACGGGTGAAACCAGCGAGCTCAAAGGGGGAAAACGGCATTAATGATTGCATACACCGGGCACCCAACACGAGCTGGTCTGGGCGCAGGCTTCCACGTTTCAACGGCGATGGAGCTTCCTGACCGGACCGGCGGCCGAGAGTGGGGATGCCGCAGCGAGTCATGATTGTAATGGGCAATTCGAACCCAAGGACCGAATCATGGCGGAGCCCAGTACAGCTCCCGACTGCAAGTGGCTGCCTCGCCTTCCCAGCTGCGATCCCCAATCAATACCAGTCGGCGACACTCAGCCAATGGTGTCGGTTGGGGACTTGGGCGGTGCGGTGGTCTTCAGCATGGCGAGCGTGATCCGTGGTCGGGTAGAGGTGGCTGCCGGCCTCACCAGCGGCCCGTGGTCCTGTCGACGGTGACGCACCAGGGGACGATGCCGGTGCCAGCTGCGATCGACGGTCGATATCAATCGCATCTACTTGAGCCAATCGTGTGTGGGCAGCGCGGCGGCTGCTGGGTGTGACGAGCGGGGTCCGGCGGCCGGGGTTGGCGGCGGCGACCGGCGCATGAGAAAACTTCCCAAACTTCGATGACGGGCGGCGTGGTCACTGGCGCTCTGATCGGCACCCGCATCGTCGAACATTCGGCCAATTTGAACATAGGTTGCTCATTTCCTGAGAGCGGGTTTCGTATCCAACCACTGTACATTCTATTGTCCTTGGGGTGGGGGGGGGGGGGGGACAGTCTGCGTGACAGGTCATTCGTGCATGGTCGTTACGTGAGGTAACAGTCTGAAGTCTGCGACGTGGGCCAATATTTGATCGCATGACGGGTACGTGGAGGTTAATAAGATGGGCATTCACTTTTCCGGATGTAACCGTAAAAGCGACCTTTATTACACGGGTGCATAACGGCAAGGACTACAAATCGAAACACCGTATGCACCATATTTACTTTGTCCTAGTGGCCTTAACATGTGTCAAAATTTTCGGTGTTATTAGAACATCGAGCCCAACACGACGTTATGCACGTGGAATGTCTGAAAGCTCAAAACGGACGATGAAAAATCAACAGGAAAGCGAAAATGCAACTCACGTTATATATTTTTGACAGCTCATGCAATATCATATCATCCTGGTTGTACCAGCGAGTGATATATATGTAGAGCTGGTGGACCATGAGTGGGTATAATCATCACTAATGATCGAGACAGTTTTTTCAACGAGGATTTTACGCGGCTCTTGGCAGAACAGCCAGCCACCCAACGAGGCCAGTGTCTATGCATTGACAGAGAGCGTAGACGAATACAGTTCATCAAATCTACTAAAATGAGCTTACGAACTAGCATTCCGAGCGAGTAGCCGCGGAGCAGGTGCCGTCTAAGTTGGTCGTGAGACGCCGCGGCCCCTCCACACCCGATGGCGACCGACAGTGAGTACCGCGTCGGCCTGGGCCTGCCGTCCATCACACTATCGGAGCGCCGGCGTCAGCTGCTGGCCTTCCTGACGGTGCTGCTCAGCCTGGCCGGCAGCCAGCTGGGCCTGCTGCTGGTCTGCTCATCGTTGGTCGGCGGCGGCCCAGCCGTCGACCACGCGCCGCTGCTGGCGCGCGCGCCGGGCGGCGTCACCTTGCCGGCGCCGGACACCGCGCTGGCCACGCAGCCGGCGGCCGGCGGCGCCGCCGTCGCCAGCAGCGCGCTCGGCCTGCTGGCTGGTGTGTTGTCGCGCTCACACAACCGGCGCTACCGGCGCCGTGCGATCGCCTTCGGCTACGTGTACGTGGTGGCGGAGCTGGCGACGCTGGCGCTGCTGGCGGCGCTTATCGCGCGCGCGCAGCAGCAGCAGTCGCGCGCGGCCGGCCGCCGCCTGGAACGTCAGTACCGCGCGGCGTTCGCCAGCGCCATGTGGGACTACCTGTACGATCCGGCGCTGAAGGAGTACATCGACACGGTGCAGCAGGAGTTCCGCTGCTGCGGCGCCACCGGGTTCTCCGACTGGTACCTCACAGACTGGCTTCGGCCAAGCACCTACAAGCAGAAGTACTACATGAACCTGCTCGGGCGACAGCAGCTGGGGCTCAGTGCCGAAAACGAGTCCTACTACAAGCTGATTCACTACGGCTCGCCGATGGCGCAACGCGCGCTGGTGGCCCAGCTCGACAACCCCGAGGCCACCTCGCGGAAACGCTGCGAGCTGTTCTTCAACGAGGTGCCCTTCAGCTGCTGCGACCCGGAGTCGCCAACCTTCTGCCGGCAGATGTTTGCCAACCGCGTCACGTTCGCCTACAACCCAGCCGAGAACTTCACGCTCATGGACGCCGGCTGCGCGCAGGCTGTCACCGCCGCCATGCTGGCTGAGGGCCGCGCGACGGTGGCGCCGCTCTGGTGGACACTTGGCGTGAAGCTGGCGGCGCTGCTGCTGTACCGACTGCTGCAGACATCGCAGGCCAGCGCGCTGGCCGCCGGCCGCCACCTGTCGGCGGCGCGAGGCTGGCTCCTGCTGCTGCGGCCCACACGCGGCGGCCCACCGCCGGAGCCGCTGCTCGACTCCTCGGCGGGCTCAGGTGAGGCTGAGAGGCCACTGAAGGCCGTGCCGGCAATGACGACGGCACCTAGTGTGGTCGGCTGCGGGTCAATGTATTTGTTTTTGGTGCTGGATATTCGATTACATAAAAAATGACACAATACAGTATGCGATACAAGGTAAGATCACATAAAAACATGGTAAACTATCATATAAATTTAAGATTAGAATTTGGTATAATGCTATCCTACCGTGTTGCATTATTAAAAATCCCAATAATCCAAAATTGTATCATAGTGTTCTTACTGATAAAGTTCCCCTGGTCTGACATGTCCATAACCCAGAAACATTTCCGAGGGTGACATGCCACCTGGCCTGTTTCCAGAGGCGTCCAGCACCACCGGGGACGGTGACATGACGACAGAGGAGAGCAACACACTCACCGAGGACAGCAGCGCGCCCTCTCCTGACGACGACTCGGAGCCGGACGCTACCTCTGACGACATACCCCCTCCGCCGCCGATGGACGACTCTGAGTGATCAGACCGTACTGCTTCTCGTCCAGCGGCGACGCGTGGAGTCACCTTTCGTTCCTGCGCGAGGGACGCCCTCTTGGAGAGAGTCTGAAAACGGAGACCTGAGCGGCGGGGGACTCACCACTGTGCCGGATTTGCACCAATGCCATTGAAGAGCTGTCCGGAGCCTCTGATGAACAGAGCATGAGTCCAGAGCCTAAATCCTGAGCATCTAAGACCAACAGCCAAATTGCGTCTCATGTGCAGCCCTTGCCAGCTGGAACCGCTGCAGACTCCTCGCTGCGTTGATCTAGCCGTTTATGTGGAGAACATGTTGGTTGCCCGTGCGTTGTCAGCTCTCACGCTGCTGATCAGGTGATCACTTCACAGCTGTGGCAAAGAGACGGCTCGTGGCAACCTCCCCTCGCCCTCCCCCTTCCCCTAGGAGTGACTGGCCTGTTTTAAACTGTCATGCGTTTGTCGCGCTGGACTCGAGTCTCATATAGCCAGAATAGTCTGGAGTTCGACTCGAGCTTCGGGCTACTCGTATGACCGTGGCATCGTTCGTGTGACTTCGACGAATGGATGGAGTGATGTGGTGAGCAGGTTGACGGGATGTTGTTGCACCACCGCGGCGTCCTACAGCGCTACGCTGGCAGAATGTGTGGCACTTTACTCAGGCGTTTTCATGCAGTTGTGTTACATGTATGTAAAATATATGTCTATGGTGGGACGGAGCGCATTTCCAGCCACATGTTCATGTTTTCCTCTGCGAAATTCAGCACAAGTGTGCCTCATCCGAATGGTGAACACTCCATAAGTTGTTCGGTCGATATTAA